ATGTACTCTCTAGTCAGTGTTGACTTGAAATCCTTCCACCGCTCAGCAACATTCTTTAACCAATGCTTTTTCATCTCAGGGACAGCATCAATATCATAAGGTAACTACAAATTAATTAAGTTTTTAGTAAATTAAAAATTTAAAGGAATATTATAAAAATAATAGTAACAAAGTTTGTGGTACTTACTCTAATTTCTTTCCAAACTTGATCCTTAATAGCTTATGGTACTTGCCTCCAATCCTTGTATAGAGTACTAATTTTGCTGTGAGCCTGAAGGCTAATGAAGCTGATAAATCAATCTCCCTCAACGCCAAGTGGAACCAAATTTGGACTAAGTTCAACATGTAACCTCTTTGTGGTCCCATGATGCATGGCCAACTCTCTCAATTTTGTAAGGCCTCTACCCTTTTTCTTACCAGGTGAATTAGTAGTATTATCATCTCCTCTAGAGCCCTCCACATGCCTAATGGAAATAGTAAGGTAAGCATTTCATATATAAAAAGTAAATAAATAAAATAATAAACAAAATAAAAACTATTACTTTATTTATTCTCCTAAATTTTTTTGCAATGATAATCTCTAATAGCAAATTCATTGTCTATCTCATCCATTTCAGATGATTGACTTGGATTTATAGTGAAAGGTAGGGTCTCATCAAGATCAAAAATACAATCATCATCACCAGTCTGTCTTTTGTCTTGAAGAACAATAGACAATCGCTTATTTGTTGGATTAGTCACATAAAACACTTGTTTTGCTTGATTTGCCAAAACGAAGGGCTCATCAATGTGACCCACCCTATTGAGATCTACTAAGGTAAATCTAGCAATTTTGTCTATTTGGATGCCACCCCTATGAGCCCACTTACATTTGAAAACAACAATTTTGAATTTGGTATAGTTAATCTCCCAAATATCTTTAATGATTTCATAGTAAGGCATTGGTGCCTACTTTGGATTTTTATCTTTTGAACTAGAAAAATGTTGAGCTTCAGCAACCACCATCACTCTACTATTTTGCACAGTACTTCTTTCATCTTAGGCTTTTATATAAAATAAATACCTATTTATCTCAAACCCACCCTAACATATAACCTAAAAATGAGGCCTATCAGCTAATCATTGTATCGTATCAGACACATTGGGCTCATTACAAACCTTATCCTTGAACCACTTGATAAATTTCTTGTTATGCTCATTCACTAGCTGCATATTATTTTTTGTTGTTGTTGTCCTTCAACATCTTCTTGTGGGCATCTAAGTAACATTAAACTTCTTCCATATTATTCAAAATGTAAAAATGGGCTTGTAACACCTCTTCATGGCACATACTTTTTACTTTGACCCCTCGTGTTCCTTTACCCGTGAGACTAGTTCCCTCATGATGAGATTTAGGAACTCCAATAGCCTTTACCCCATGTAGGTACTCAGTACAAAACTCAACAACCTCTTCAGCAATAGATCTTTCAACAATTGAAGCTTCAAGACAATATGAATTTTTTGAATATCCCTTTAATATTTTCATATAATGCTCAAATGGGTACATCCACCAAAGATATGTAGGACCACATAGCCTTATTTCTCTCACCAAGTGAATAATTAAATGCACTATAATATCAAAAAAAGCCAAAAGGAAGTACATCTTGAGTTGGCACAAAATGATATAACCTTCATTTTCCAATTCATCTAATTTATTAAGGTCAATGACTTTGCTACAAATAGAATTGAAGAAACTATACAGCCTTGTAAATTTTTTTCACACATCATCTTTCAATATGCCTTGAACAGAAAGCGATGATAATTGTTACATCAATACATGACAATCATGAGACTTCATGCCTATTAGCTTTAAATCTTTCATTGACACAAGATTTCTCATGTTCAAAGAATATTCTTAGGGCACTTTAATACCATGTAAACACCCAAAGAAGCTTGCTTTTTCCTTTTTTGAAAGTGTTTAGGCTGCGAGTGGTAAATAAGTCCTTTTTTCCTCTTCTCATCAGGGAAATAATCATTCTCTTTTTCCTATCACAGCCAAGTCTAGTCTAGCATTTATCCCATCCTTAGTCTTCCCATTAATGTGCAAAAGTATGCCCACAAGACTATCATAAACATTTTTCTCCACGTGCATTATATCAAGATAATGTCTCACATCAAGATGCTGTGAATATGGAAGATCAAAAAAGATAGACCTCTTTTTCCATAAATTCTTCTCACTTGCAGTCTTTCGATTCTTACCAAAGATTACATTGATCCTTTCCACTCGTTAGTAGACTTGCTCCCCCGCCAATGCCTTGGGAGCAAATTCATACTCTTGTGAACCATTAAAAGCCTTTTTCAACCTGCGATAAGGATGATACCAATCAAAAAATCTCCTATGACCAAGATAGATTGTTTTCTTTTCATGCTTTAGATGTTGAGAATGCGTGCCTTCTTCACAAATAGGACATGCTTTATGCCGTTTAGCACTATATCTAGCCAAGTTTCTATATGCAGAAAGTCATTTATCATGCAAAAAATCATGGTACGTAGTTTAAAGAATTGTTATTGGTAAGCATCAAACACATCAATGCCGTCCTCCCACATCATCTTTAAGTCTTCAATCAAGGGTGCCAAGTACACATTGATATCGTTTTCAAGTTGTTTTGGTCCTAAAATCATCATGGTCAACATGATATACTTACATTTCATACACAATCATGAAGGTAGATTGTAAATCACCAGGAGAATTGGCCATGCATTATGTGTGCTGCTAAGATTACTGAAAGGATTAATTCTATTAGTACAGAGTCCAAGTTGAAGGTTTCTTGACTCATTACCAAAATCTGGAAACTTTTGATCTATCTTCTTCCATTGAGGAGAATTGACTGGATACTGAAGTTTAATATTAGATATTCTCTCATCAAAATGCCATCTTAAGTTTTTTTGCCTCTATGGAATTAAAAAACAAACACTCAAATCGTGGTATTCTAGGAAGATACCACATCACCTTTGAAGGTGAGCCTTTAGTGATATCGTTACTATCACCACACACGTCCTTCTTTACTTTACATCGTGATGCCCCACATTTTGGACATTTATGTTGCTCTTCATGTTCCTTTTTGTACAACACACAATCATTAAGGCAAACATGTATTTTCTTATACTGCATACCCATCGGACATAAGATTTTTTTAGCCTCGTAGTGATAGTTGGGAAGAGTATTATTGTCAAGAAACATATCTACCAACAATTCAAGCAACCAAGTAAAACTTGTATCTGTCCACCCACATCTTGCCTTCAAGTTAACCAATCTTAATAAACCTGTCAAACATGTATACTTTTTACATCCCGGGTATAATGACTTCTTTGCATCACTTTGTAAGCTCTCATATACATGAACTTGCACAAAGAACTCCATTCCAATATCACGGATCATATCCTTTATTCTATCATCCCAAGCATCTGCATCTACTTCTTTCTCTTGGGATATTGAACTCATCCCTTTAGTTTCACCATGCCATATCCATTTTCTATACCTCAAATTTATCCCATCACAAAGCAAGTGTTCTCTTATCTCATTAATATTCAATCGACTCCCATTTAAACATTTGATACATGGACAAAAATATAATTCATTGTTACTTGAAACATTCCGTTTAGCAAAGTCAACAATATATTCCACCCCATTCTCATATTCTTCACTCGTTCTTCTAGCATTCATCCAACTATGGTTCATTGTTTAACTACCTAATTAATTAACATAAAACTTAATTGTTGACTCAAGTATTATAAGTAATTCTAAGCAATTTATAAACTTATAACAATTCCAAAGAAATAAAAAAAATAAAGTATATTAAACTTTTTTAGTTGAATTATATTTTTTTGAATTTGGAAAAAATTAACAAATTATATATGATCTCAAAACTTCAACATTCACAAAACAAAATTAACTCAACAAATAATCATATTCAATTTTCTATTTTTAAATTTTTTTTGGCAGAATCTCCTCTAAAATTATGACATTTCAAAATATCAACAATAAAAAAATTAATCAATATTAGACAGCAAAAATTACAGCATTTGATAATAATAAAATTTCTAATCATAACCATTTAAATGGAAAAAAAATTATGCAACAAGATGACAAATTAAAATGTAAAAAAACTTTTACTTTGTTATAAATTTAAAAAAATAAATAAATAACTTACTTGAAACCTAGGAAGCACGGATACGCCAATTTTGGTGGCGTATCCGTGTCGGATACGCACCGGACACGGATACTCGCTTCGTGCGAGTACGTCCGTGTCCGATACATTTTTTGTTTGGGCGACACGGCGCGACATGGCGAGACACGGCGTCGACACGGCTGACACGGCTTCAACGCTGAACGCTGCGTTTTGCATAAAAAAAATTGCCTAAATAAGCAGATCGAACCTCACTCACTTCTGATTCTGACCTTCTCTCCCAACTCGCGAAATCAGTCGGCCGTCGTTCTCTTACACTGAGTTCGCGAAATCAGATCGAACCTTCCCAGATCGCGCCGTTGTTGTCCTCCGACCTGCCGTGCGCCTGGTTCTTTCGTGCTCCTAGCCTCTTACGCATTCTTAGTTGCTCAGCTCACCGGCGTCGGTCTTTCGTCCGTTCAGGCGTTCACTGGTTTACACTTCTCTCTCTCTCTCTCTCATGTCTCTCAACTCTCAAAGCCTGAAACTGAAAAATGAATAGATTTTATTATTTTATTTTTGATTTATGTTAAAGACTTAAACTTTGCTTCAACTCTCATGTCTAGTTTTTTTTTTCCTTTTGACCGAAGCTCATGCTCTGCCCTCTTCTTTAAATTTAATTTTTATTTATTAATTTAATATATTAGATTGCAATGTTCATGTGCAGAATTTATATTTAATGCATGCTTGCTTTCTATTTTTATGTTACATGTTATTTTGCTCAAATCTCAATCTGCATTTCAATGCTTTTAGTCATATTTAATTTTAGTTTATCTCAATTTTTTTTAATTAGCTATGGCTACAGCAAATAGTTCTGGGGGAAGTATTAATTCAGCAGCCCGTTTTTCTTCTATAAATGAGCTACAAAAAGATGAAACTCCCTTATGGTGCTATGTCACTTTGGTGAATAAAAATAGAGACATACCAGGAGGTGGAAATAGATATTGGAGGTGCAATTATTGTAACAAAGAATTCAATGGCTCTTATTCTAGAGTTAAGTGGCACTTGTTAAAAACTTCTGGCAAGGGAATTGCTATATGCTCGAAAGTTGATGAGTATTGCCTAGCTGAGATGAGAAAATTACAAGAAGATGCTGATGAGAAGACCAAGTCAAAGCAAGTGCCATTACCACCCCCGGCTGAAGGTTCATCTCCCTTATATCCTATGACAAGTGAAAGCAACCAAAGCAAGAGAAGGGCAGTAAGTCCATTAGAAAAGGCCTTCCAACAAGGGGCAAGAGAAAATCTACATGCTGAAATTGCAAGAATGTTTTATACAGGTGGTCTATCTTTTCATTTGTCACGCAATCCATATTTCATTAGTTCATATCAATATGCTACGAACAACATCATTCCTGGATACAAACCTCCTGGTTATGATGCATTAAGGGGTCCATTGTTGTAAAGAGAAAGAGCTCACACAGAGAAGTTACTTGAACTAATTAAAGGAACTTGGAGTTTGAAAGGAGTGAGCATAGTCACAGATGGTTGGACAGACGCTCAAAGGAGGCCTCTGATTAATTTTATGGCTGTGTCTGATGGGGATCCCATGTTTTTGAAGGCAGTTGATGGATCCAAAGAATATAAAGACAGACATTATATGGCTGACTTGATGCGTCAAGTGATTGAAGAGGTCAAGCCTCAAAATGTGGTTCAAATAATCACTGACAATACATCTGTTTGCAAATCAGCAGGTAGGCTTATAGAGGCTGAGTATCCCACTATTTTCTGGACGCCATGTGTTGTGCATACGCTTAATCTTGCATTAAAGAATATATGTGCAGCAAAAAACACAGAGGCAAATGAGATTGTGTATGATGAATGCCATTGGATAGAGGAGGTTAAGGATGATGCTGCTTTTATTAGAACATTTATCATGTGTCATTCTATGCGATTGGAAATTTTTAATGAATTTGTGCCATTAAAATTACTTGCCATAGCTGACACTCGCTTTGTATCCACTATTGTTATGCTTAAAAGACTCAAGCTCATTAAAACTTCACTTCGTACAATGGTGATAAGTGAAGCATGGAATGCTTATAAGGAAGATGATGTTGGAAAGGCAGCCACAGTGAAAAACTTGATCCTTAATGACTCTTAGTGGGATAAGGTGGATTATATACTTTCTTTCACTGGACCGATTTATGACATGCTTCGGATGGCTGACACAAATAAGCCTATACTTCATTTAATTTACGAAATGTGGGATTCAATGATAGAACAAGTGAAGGAGTCCATCTACAAGCATGAGAATAAGGAGCTTTCTGAGTATTCAGCTTTCTTTGATGTTGTTTATAGGATCATTATTGATCGATGGACAAAAAGTTGCACTCCCCTTCATTGTCTTGCACATTCATTGAATCCTAGGTTAGTTATATTACTATTGCAATATTTTTCATTCATGAATTATTTAGTTTTGTTCTTAATCCTTTTTGTTTGCAAATGTTATAGGTATTATACACCCCAATGGCTTAAAGGTGCTCCCAATAGAATTCCGCCTCATTTAGATAATGAAATATCATCTGAGAGAGTAAAGTGCCTTTATAGGTACTTTACTGATCCTGAGGAGAGAAAGGCGGTCTTTCAAGAGTTCCCAAAATTTCTTGGAAGTTTAGAATTCTATTCATCATTTGATTGCTTGCAAGATAGGTGGAATTTAGAACCTAAAGGGTGGTGGTTAAATTATGGTTCTTTCACCCCTATTCTTCAGAGGCTTGCATTGAAACTTCTAGGCCAACCGTGCTCTTCCTCTTGTTGTGAAAGAAATTGGAGTACTTACTCCTTTATCCACTCATTGAAGAGAAACAAGATCACTCATAAAAGAGCTGAAGACTTAGTTTTCGTGCATACTAATCTTCGTCTCTTGTCAAGGAAGAGCGAAAAGTATCGCATTGGGCAAAGTAGAATGTGGGATATTGGTGGAGACACTATGGAGCCATTTGATGCTGTCAATAGCCTTAAGATGACAACCTTGTCACTTGATGAACCCATTTTAGAGCAAGAAATTATAGGAGAGCCTAGTAATGTAATGGAAAATGAGGATGATGAAATGTGATGCATTTGATAGTATTTTGTATTTTTTTGGATTGCTATGCATTTTGATTGTTGACATATTATTTACATTTATATAAAAAAATATTATATATTGCCATACCCGTATCCTAAAATTTTAAAAATTTGCCATATCCCGTATCATGCCGTATCGTATCCAATACTCGTACCCATATCTGTGCAACCTAGCTTGAAACAAGGAAGAGGAAAATTTGAAATGCAACATCAACGATAGAGAGGGAAGAAATTTGCCATTGTATTGTTGAATGGAAGATGAAATTGTTACAAAAAACCATCAAGAATCATTAGAGGAGGAAGAAGGAACAAGAAAAAAAATTAAAAAAAAAAAAAACATACACACTAAGAGAGAAGCAATAATGCGGCAAAAGAGCAGAGAGGTGGACGGCACTGCGATGGCAATGGCAACGGCAATGGCAACGTGTGGCAATGGAGTAGGGGCGAACAGACGGAGTGACTGTGGGTTTTTAGAGTTGCATGAGTGAGTTCAAAATTTTTGATGCGGGAATCTAAAACTGACTGACAGGAAAGGAAAAGTAAATAGATGTTTTAACGTCAGTTCCTTAATAATGTTTCCACGTCGATTCCCCCAAGGAACTGACATGGAAATGTGCATTTTATTTTTTTTATTTCTTGGCATACGATTTCATGTTTAAATTTTCCACGTCGGTTGTCCTAGCAACCGACGTGAAAAATTTTAAAAAAATATAATAATTTTTTTAAATAAAATGTACAATGTCGGTTAACGTGATAATCGACGTGGTTTATTTTTTAACATCAGTTTTAAGTATAACTAATGTTAAATAATTAATATTTATTTATGCTTATGCCATTGCCTGTTTTTTTACAACAGTTTTTTATACAACTGATATTAAAAGGCATTGTTAATAGCTATTTCTGTAGTAGTGAACCTTCCATAAAACCTCATACACCCTCACAACACATAGCTTGATAAATTAGGAGTAGTGACCTTGCTCTAGCTCCGAAAGCAACTGAACATTGGTGCAGGAACCCATAATGAATTGAGTGGCAAATAATGGCAAACCACAATACACTTGGAATATATTTAACATGCATGGTGCTTGAAAACTTAGAGAAAGGATAATAGTGTATCTACTATTTATATAGACTTGCTGATGATATTCAAATTAGACATGTACAATTACATGATAATTTGAATCTCGTGGTAATAATGACACAAAGATTTTTGTGAGAGAAAAAAAATTTATAATAGCTACATAATATACATATAAGGAAATAGCTACAAATAAATTGGCAACAACTATTCACATGACACATTCATCATTTAATTTATTTGAATCAATTAAAAAATTTTCAATTATCATAAACTACCTAAAACATAAATTTTATTTGAATCTCATGGTAATAATGATACTTTTGTTCATGAAAAGGAAAACGTATAATGGCTACCTAATAAACAATTAAGGAAATCACTATACATACATTGGCAATCGTGATTTTCTAATTAAAATCTATGTGTATATATTTGAATTAGTTGCCCAATGATTAAATTTTAAATTGATTTTAAATTTTAAATTATATATAGATAGATTTTATATAGAATAAAGAAAATAAACTTAAATATATCAAGCTAATATAACATAAAATGGTCAAAATCAGAAAATTAGGAAATAAATCGAGGAGACATAGTAATTCAAAGTTGACTATCAAGAAAAATAATTTATACCTAAAACAAAATTATGATTGTTTTATTAGTTGATATTAAATCATAAAATTATTAATCAAAATAAAATGAATTCAAGAATTCAATTTCCTCACAAATTTATCCCATGATTATACTTTTTATAAATTAAAGAATTAAATCACAAAATTAAGTCACTGCAATGCATGCATTATATTTCAAACAATGAATAATAATTTATTATTGAGAAATTATTCAACCTGCGTACACTTGTCATCATGGGAGAAAAACATGGAGCTAATTTAGCTTTATAATACGCTGACATGTGTGCTTTGGGATCCTGATGTTATATATATATATATATATATATGTTTGTATGTATGTATGTATAGATAGATGGTGACCGGACACACATGGCTTTAGTTGCAAATAATGTATTATAATAATGTTGGATGGATAGATGTTGGCTAGCAAAAGAAGTAATAAACAATTCCATTATTTTATGCATGTGATTCCCCTTTTTTTCTCTGGCATCTTAGCTTATTATTTGTTAGTTCTGAATTGTCCTCGTATTTGTGTGACTTTTTTTTTTTTTTTGTGTCAGTTGAATGTGCAATGAGTAATTAATGATGCTGTGTTCGTTTTGTTTCATTCATTTGAATAATTTATTAACCATAGAATAATCGGGATGTAATATATGATTGACATACACATCAAAATTTATTACTCAATAGCTGTGCATATTAAAACAAAATAATTTTTTGTTTTAAATTTTTTATTAATGAAGTTCCTGAAAATATAAATGACATTTTATTTTCTTTTATAATACTTCATCGGAATAATTTAAAATCCGGTCGGTAGATAACTTAAGTGCCTGCAAACTGCGACCAAATTAGTTTGGATCTAAAATATTGGAGGGAAGGAAAAAATTACTTGATAATTTATTAATCCGTGCATGATAAAAAGCTTCAACAACATACTTTGTTGCGAAGCTTAACATCCCATGCATACACCATGTGCATTTACAAGTCATTAAAAATATATAATTTTAAAGCTAAAAAATTTATGTTGTTTTAAAATATATAAAAAATTGTTTTGGAACTAAATTTAATTTAAAAATATGTAAATTTAAAAAATGCTATTACAATAATATAAATATTTAGATAACCACGCGTTCAATTTTATTATGTATTATTTTTGTACATATTAAAAATATAAAAGGCATATTTGATTCAAAAAATTTATTACATCCACACTATCAAAATAAAAAAAATATCATTAACAATCTTTGATCTTTTCATTATGAAAATATAAAAAAATTACTTGTTTTATTTTAGAATTATTTATTTTCATACACATAAAAAATATAAATTACAGCTTATTTTAGTTTATATTACTGTACATGTACCGTTAAAAGTCATTGTACTTTACAATATAATTTGATTGGTTGATTTATTTTTTTCCTTGTACAATTTGAAATATAATATAAATAAAATTGCTTGATAATTTGTTACCCCAAATGAATTAAAAAAATATTTATAGTATATTTCATTTTTGAATGTATTAACTTATACATTATGCATATTTATAAGTCATCATTCTAGAAATTAATGGCTAATTTTAACAGAATATAAGTTAAAAATATAACATATTTTTATAAAATTCAAAAAATAAAAATAAATTTTAGTTTAAGAACATGTTTTAAAAATACTTTTTCTTGTCTTTGTAATTTTGAAAAAATATATGATTTTAAAAGTAGTATTTATTCAAAGAACCGTACAATGGGTTTTACAGGTCTACAGAAAAACATTTTACTGTACATGTACATTAAAATCTCATTGTACTTTACTATATAAATAATAGATGGATAAACAGATTTTGTCTTGTTTTAGGACTATAAAGTCGGGATTATTAAAAAAATCCCAAATTTGGATCAAAGACTTACTAATGAATTAATTTAGTGCCTATTTGGATTGGAGTTGAAGAAACAATATAGATAATCATGATTTTGAAAAGTGGCATTTATCAAAAGCGACGTGGATATATTATAATTTTTGTTTAGATACTTTTTTTTAATAAGTGATTATGAGAACATTAATTCTGTTTAAATTATATTTATCTAAATCAAGTTTGAATATATAATTACCTAAAACGTTAGTGTAATTTTTAAAAAATTGTTTAATTTTCTATAATTATTATTATTAAATATAATTTAATAAAAAGCCTATCATGATTTTTCAAACGATTGATTAGGGTTTTCAAAATTTATTTAAACAGTGCAAATGACCTTCATAAATCATTTAAAATTTTTGTTCACTTAAACAATACAAGTTGTATGATTTGTTCTTTAGATCAAGCAATACATGTTA